ATTCGACTGGCCTTCCACTTTAGGAAGGCGCGCGTCCTTAACTTCGCTGCCCGCAGAGCCACGCATTCAATGTATGTGCAGCTCCTCGTAGGCTGCCTTCCTGCAATAACTAGAACCACAGGACAATACATCCTTCAATGCGTGGTCTATCACCCGTTGCAGGGGCGCCAGGCGGGCAGTGGACATGCCATACAGCTCGCACCCGTAAGTTGCAATTGGAAGTAGAACTGACTTGACCAACAGCATCTTGATGGGTGCAGGTACGAATTTCCGTGTGAGGAACGGTCTCTCCCATAGTATGCACGGGCCGCCTTCTCCTTCCTATCTCGTATTACTACGTTCAAGTACCACAGGACAATACGTCTTCCAAAGCGTGGTCTACAATACGCGTAAAGAAACAAAAAAAAAGAAATCGTAGAAACAAAATGTTAAGTAAAAATGTAAAAAAGTGTATACTTGATATAAAGATTTTCTCAACTTAAAACTTTAATAGTTCTTATCTCATACTTCTCATACCTGAATTCGACTTGTGCTTGCCCTCTGTTTTCTTTTCTTCGGCAGCTCGCTCATACGCATACTTGACACTTGAGAATGAACCAGAACCTACCCTATTACCTTTCGACTTAGAGCTAGACGAAAATTCTGGTTGCCTTCCATACATTTCCTGTTGTACCATACGTGTAGGAACAGACTTTTCTGCTGTAGGTGGTCGTTGTTGAGCTTCAGATTGCGTCCTTGATGGTCCGAAAGACGAAAGAGCTTGCATAACATCTTCATATACTTGACTGGGTGTGGCTCGCATGCCAAATCGAACATTTCTTTTTGCTGTACCTGTAGGTTGCGCTTTTGATGCAGAGGAAGGCAACGTAGCGTTCCTGGCATCATTTTTAGTTCGTGGTACAAAAGGTTGAACGTTGAAATGAGGAATTCTTACCTGCGCATCTGAGTCACACGCTTCGGGTGGAATCAAAGTGCGTTCATTTAGAATTTTAAATACTTTATCAACGAATACTTCAGTCATATCATAGATCTGTTGGAATGGTGTCGTATTGGCTTGAATTCCGTGCGTTTCTGCAGATTGACAGGTGGTTTTTGCCGCATCATCAACTGATTCAGTCGGCACAGGCACATCGACCAACGGTACGTCTCCATTTTTAATGAAGTTTACTATATCTGTTCTTAGTCCTTGTATGGCGCACGAACTTTCTCTGGCAAAGTCACATAAAATTTCCTTAAAAACGCAATCGGTTGCATAAAAATTAAATTGGTCCATAGATCTACGAAAATCTTTCATAAGTTCTTCACTATATGAAATATCAATCTTATCATCTCCAACAAAGGCAGAATTGTCGTCTCGATCCTCCTGAGCTGATGTTAGCTTGAGGTGCTTTTTATATTCATCTACCCTATTGGTCGCTTGTATGTTCAACCTTATCATATGGATCAAATCTTCTTTTGCCTGCTCTGGAACGTAAAATCCACAGCTCTCTTTAATAGCAAAGTAATGATGTAAGATTTGAAGATAAGTAGCGTCAGCTTCGAGTTTTTCCGCAACACTACCGTAATAAAGAATATCCACCAGTTTTTTCATTTGATATACTTCATATTGTTTTCCCAATATAAAATTACGCATATGCATTGCTCTTTGCAATATATCTTCCATTGATTTAAGTCCAGCTTCAGCTGCTTCCTCTGGAGTTAGTTCTTGTTGACACGATGCTTGTTCTAGGTAGTCACTTCGCACAAGTTTTGGTCGGCTTTGAAAGGCAGATTCATCTGAAAAATCAATCAGAGGCTGCTGGTGATCATATTGGGAGCGAGATTCTGGCATAGTACGAGGGAACTGGTTCGATGATGTCTCAATGAAATCCTGTTGTTGTGAAACGACGTTAAGTCGGTGTTCCGGATTTAAAATACCTATACCTGCTGCTTCAGTAGGTTGTAAGAGAAACACTTGAGGAGCTTTTGGTTCAGTCGCGCGTTCGAGTGTCTGTTGTTGAGATTTCGGATTCTGCGGCACTGGCTGAGCAGCATATTGTCTTGGTGGAAGCTCCTCTGAGTATGCAAACTGCGAATGTACCTTACCCACTGGTGCACGCCGCGCATCACATGGCTGTGTAGTCGACCTCGCCTGTGGCCTGATACTCTGTGGAGGCATCGACATGTTTGGTCGTTGAGTATAGGCCGGTGCAGTTGGTACTATAGTTTCAAATGTAAACCCAGGATGGGTTCTTCCAAAAGACTGATATTGCTGCTGAGGTTGTGCTATTCCGCGTTCTTCAAAACTAAGACTCGGAGTCCAGCCTGTTCCCAAAGGCACTTCTTCACGACGATCAGCTGCCTGTGTGCATCCAAGAAATACTAATAGCGAAGAAAGTTGCACTAGTAAATTTGTTGCGTTACTACGATTGCGTATAAAACTAACCATGAGAACGTGTATATCAGTTCGCTTTTATAGTTTTGAAACGTCTGTTTATGGTGGTCGTATTAAATGGCAACATTCTTTTTTGGTATCTATCTAATTATAGAATGTTTCTATTTGTAGAACATGCGATGTGAGCTACGAAAGAGTGGTCATGTATTTCAGATCTATCTAAAAACAAGTATTTATCATCTATAGCTGCAATTTACCGTTAATGTATTGCTCTGTAATTAATATTTATATGGTAATACATAATATAGCATACAAAATTATATTAACACGTGCAAAATGGATATTCCATTAGCGGGATATGATAAAATTCGTATGGCTGGTTATATTTCGTTAAACATATCAAAGGATAAAAATAAATTGGTATGCTCTACATTTTTAAGCCTATAAAGAATTAATCAATCTAAAAAATTTTTGTAAATCGTCAAAACCCTCTGATGTTACCATCAGTACACACAATAAAAATGCAGTAGCGCAATTAAAAGCGATTCATTAACAATTTTTTATTTATTCCGATCACATGCCAACCAATTGACATAAAATTAGCGATACACTTAAACATCTAGAATACTGTGTTAATTATATACAACATTCCATTATATATGTTGTTATTTATCCCATAATGCTATTCATTAATCCATAAAATTTTTTTCTTTTTATCCAGCTATTTGCTTGAGTGGATCATTTGCTTAAATAGGAAGTTGCTATAAATGTATATACACCCATCATCTACTCACAAATTATACAAGTGTGAAGTAATGCCTGTAAATTTACGTTTTCTATGGCAATTACGTACTATTTTGGCGATTTAGTGCTGATTTTAGATTAATTCTACTTTAAGATTTTTTCTGTTTTTGGTGAATGTTTAATCAGCTGCTTCATCAACTGTTTTATTGTTAATAAATCGTATCATACACAAATACTCGTTCCAACACAATCTGTAGAGTACTCGTCATGTGATATAGAATATGGTTAATAGATTTATCTTAAAAGTAATTTATAATACAATCTATGATGTACTCGTCATGTGATATAGAATATGGTTAATAGATTTATCTTAAAAGTAATTTATAATACAATCTATGATGTACTCGTCATGTGATATAGAATATGGTTAATAGATTTAATTTATAATTAACAACCCAATAAATAATTACGTGTTCAGTAGATCACCAAATAAAAAATTGAGTATTTTAGTCATCTAAATGCCTACTCTATATATTCAGATTGACAAGCATCTAAGATAAATATAAAATGCAAAATTATATAACGTGTCATTATCACCATGATGAATAGCAGTTAGCATTAAAGACTGAGCTGTTGATGTTGTATGTTTAACATCCAATAGATTACATATAATTACTTGTCTTCTGTATTTTAACAAATTAAACTATCATTTTTTAAAATGTCATACGTGATCTAGATTGCCAGTGTTCTACAAATTTTGTTTTGGCAGTAATTCATCATCTATACGTACATTGCCATTGAAAGTTTACCAGATTAATTGCTTATAAAGGATGTGAAATGATCATCAGTATGATTTGTTTGATAGACAATCCTTTGTTTAAACGAACTGATTTTAATATATAATAGTTTCCTCTACTTAGTGTTTACACGGAAGGCCTATTCCTTGCACAGTTTTTCAAAATACTAGAAAGCACCAAATATATCCATTAGCGTTTCTCACCGTTAAGTCACAACGCGTATTCTTTGCAATTTAAGATGTTTATACTATGAATTTGGTAGAAAATACATCATCAAAGATATTATTGTAAATATTTATAAAGATGTTCATGTATCCGTATTTTAATTGCACAGTGTTTACTCAATATGATCAGTTTTAAAGGTTATATCATAATGTCTTGGTCATAAGTATCACATTCTAACGTATAGTTACAATAGATCTACTTTGATAAAATACATCCTCAAGTATTCACAAGGATGCATGTAAGTAAATGCAT